TTCACTATCTAGAGATATGTTTTCACGTATTCTACGACACATTCAAGCCCAAAAGACCGGGTGACCTCTATGGAGAGATTTCGAAAACTAAAAGACCACGCTCTATTCGTGGACAGCAAGGATATTCTAACAAAGACCACATCCTGCAAGTGAAGGTTCCTTATACTGAATAACAGAACCTTATGGAACATCATCCATCAGCTCACGAATACCTGGGGTCATTCTAACCCGCGAGCGTGCCCGCAGTAGCCGAATGCTGTACCACACCACCATGATGGCTTAACTCACATGTAGCTAGTATAGCATCACAAATATTTACACGTGTAGGTTATATCTTGCAACCCGGTTTGACTAGTTTATTTAGATAACGACTCCTAAGATGAAAAGCCTATGCGCTCTGTGGCATTTCCCCCACAGTTTTGTACAAAGCCTCTCTTACACAAGATACGAAGGTTGCGTAATAAGTTGGAGGGGGTAGATGTCGTTTCACGTATATCCGTTCATACTGTTCCTGATACTTCCACATAAACTGCTCTTCTGAAAGCTCACTCCCAGATACCAGCCAAAGTACTTATTTAATGTACACCTGCCTGGATAAAACCTTTTGCAGGAGGCCGAGTTCACAACTGAGGAAAAGATACACATAAATATTGTTTGATGGGGAAACTGCTTTGGATTTTGAAGTAAAATGGTCCGTCGTTAGGTGGACTCCCACAACCAACACTTCAGACATTAATACAGCGGGATAATGGAGTTTCCGAAACTCCTTTGTCAAAGCCGATAGTATTCACCGTTCAAATGGGAGCACATTTAGCCCTTCCTTCGAAGTGGAGACATCATGGGGATGGACGCTTTCTGACCTTTGCAGAAAGTTCCTTGACGTAAGGGGTTTATAATAAATCATGAATGAGAGAGATGCCTTTCGCTGTCTTTTTGAACAGACTCTTCTTGGAAAATCTCTCAAAATAACTTAACGTCCGTTATCGATTTTGATTACTTTCAGATCCCCACTGCCAACAGCTTGTCAATGGATGCAATTCATCACAATGCACCAGTTGGGACGTCAGTACGACGAAAATACTCCCTGTCACCACGACACAGTCCACCCATCGATTCAGACCATACATCAGCACGACCACGAAGAGACCAAGCACGATTGCTAGACAGCAGGTTATCCATTCTAGTCAAAGTTCTACAACTGAGCATTCTTCTACAACCCTGACCTCCAAACTGTACAAAAATGATCCTGGGATGACGACTCATCAACAGCTCATCTATAGTGATTCAGCTTCCCCTTCTTACCAGCACTCCGCAACTCCGGTCTCCGAAATAGGAACACAGGCGTATCAAGAAGACCTTTACATTGACCTTGTTCCTACGACCAAACCTTTCACGGAAATTTCGAGCTCTGAACTAGATTTTCAGAATTCAGTAGAAGCAACTCATGAAGTAATGGGTGGATTCGGAGCCACAGCGCAAGCGGCTGTGAACAGTTTGCACCAGAATCACTCGAGATCTGTAAGTTTGCTTCAGAAATTTAGTGGGTGCATCTCCTTGGTTGCTGGCTGCAACGACTGAAGCCCATTCCTGATAAACGCTCAATTATGGGTACTCTGAAATTCAGTGCATGTTCTCTTCAGGACTTATGTTGATCTATGGCTGAATTCACTAAGTGAATTCGCTTATCTTGAGCTTACATGGATCAAAAGATTTAAAGATAAGGGACAAAAAATTGCGCATTTTCCTTGCTTTCAAGAAATAGATGGCTGTCTTTAGAAGGCTTTTTGATGGGTGATATCCGGCCAGGTTTATGTGTGCTAGGCCCAGTGACCAAACTGAGGCACATAGCTTGGTTCCTGTTCAGTAACTGTTGGAGATTCTCTTCCTCAACAGAGTCGCTAAAATGTATTATTTCAGTCTGTGTTCTCCATACATTGTCGAGTGACGTATCACCAGATTATGGTCGGCCTTTAAGTCAACTTTCTGTTTCGTTAGACATTTCTTATTATCGTTTATTTTTGAAGAGCATGGTCACACATAAAAAGGGAATGCAAGCGATGAATGCGAAAGAGTAACAGAACATGGCAGAAAAGAGAGAAACGTCTCATCCGAACTCATACCAAGAACAGTTCCAGTCTTATGAGATGAATCCCAAAGTATGTAATGATTTTGGTATGGGAACACGCGTCTAAAGACCAACAACCGAATAGGGGGCAAACAATGCTGAATGCTCTTCGAGGCGCGGTCAGTACTATCAAGTACTACCAGCCATGACTCTCACATCAGGCAAAATTTTTCCGTCCTGGTGTGAGATCAAATGGCAAAAATATACATTCAACGCCATGTGCTACGCATAAAAGTGTCATAAGTACGCAGAGAACCCAAAATGGCAAGCAAACACAAGGCACTGAGTGCGACCTTAGGAAGTCTCGGTCCAATAACAGCCTTAGCGGATTGAGGAATGCAGATCCCTTGATAAGAGATGATCATTGGTTGGTGAACCAAAAAGTCGACATCACAACCTACAAAGCAAGTCGATCCATAAGAATCAGCCACTGATGACTGTGAATTTCAGACTCCCATTTTTTTCTCCTAAAGGCGCCGGCTACACCTTAAAAAACAAATAAAAAATTGTGGTTTTTCTGGTTTGGGTATGGTGGAATCACTTGCAAACCTCCGTGGTTGTGTTCCCAAAAATTAAGTTAACTTGTCGTCTCTGCCAATGCATTCCGCCAGGCTGCACGTCACTGGATATACTTGATTATATGCTTCCAGTAGCATTAAATGGATCTTCTATCTAATGGCCAGAAACAAATTTAAAATTCCACATACTGGACAGGGATGCGCGTCCATTCAAACAGCTTCCCATACAAAGAGACGATAGGTGTTCTGAGTTTAGTTTTACGCTATATGTTGCACATGTGATAACCAATCAAGCTTATAGCGGGTGTGACTCAGTGTAACAGTACGGTCGTCGGTCCCTATCTCAGGAAATGTTTGGNGCTCTTCGAATAATTTCCTTTGAAAGGGTTAAACACCCTGAATGGCAGCAATGTAGTTTGGGTCCTCATCAAAAGGCGGGTTTGATTTCGTTCTGTAAGGTCTAGTGGAAACAAAATCTCACAGACCGGTTCTGGTCCGTAAGAACTCACATACATGCAAATAAACTGCCTTTGTGTCCAGTCAGCAATTAGGCATAGGGACATACCGGCGCACCGGCTTGAAAGAAATTTGATCGGTTTGGAAACTGCTTGTTATCCACTCTGATGGTCCGTCTCCACAATCTGTCTTAAAGACAGTTAGATGAACCAGCGCGTCAGAAACCTTACCACCGTCCAGAATGGACAAGTGGAAGCATGAGGTCAACATACCCCTCAAAGTAATGTCCATCTGAGAGGAGCTTTTCTATGCTTTTCGTATTTTACGAGGAGTCCTTTTACGCTGTCGGCGACATCGATACGTTGTATCCCAAGCTGTCCCTAAATACAGCGTATCCCTTATTAAAAGCTAACTGTATAGATTTGTTCTAATTTTCCAGGAAAACCGTGCAGGTTTATACACATCACTGGCTATTCTGCTTACGCTGTGCGCACTGCTGAGTATGTATGCCATCGTGCGTCGGTGGAGGCGAAAAAGTTGGTGAGTTGCAATAGTTCTTGTCTAGCTCTATTGGAGATTGGTTTTTAGGACGTCAATTATTCCCTCCCTCTGAATATTTCACCTGAACCAAAGAGCTATTACTAAATGTCCAAACTGCTTAGACCACAACGAAGCCAATCGCTCATAATTGCGCTGCTGTCACTAGGAATCATCCCATAGCTAATGATACAAAGATAATGAAGAACCACAGATATTTCGTTTGGTAGGTACTAGAAATTCAAAGCGGTTGATTCAACATATTCTTAACCGTTTAAGAATACACTTCAGATCCATCCCCGCGTTGCCCCTATTAGTGCACCGTTGACGATGGCCATAATACAAATCAGAAGGTGTACGCACTAAAAGAAGTTTCTAACTGTAAGTGACAGTAGTTTACAGAAACCATTTGCAGCATGTATAAAATAAGGGACAATATAAAATGTGGAGCGATGCGAGAGTCCCTTGGTGAAAGTCCGGACAGTGAAAACGTGTTCTCCGCAGTATAGCTGCTACACGTGTTCCATAATTGTCCGTGGACTTGGAGTGTTAGGTTGATTCCTTGATCCCTGCGCGCGCGAGTGTTTTGACTGTGTTCGGTTTCCTTATATGTAGGTCCGTTTGCGTTACGTGGGCGCGTCAGCACATGAGTAGTTGCTACGCTCACTAGACGGTGCAGACAATCGAAGCCTGATGAGTCACGTTAATGTGACGTGGTTGTGGGCATGAAAAACAGACAAGCCCCGTGATCCAGTGAGCGACTGTGAGCTGAACGGTCATGTGGGTGACTTGATGACTACACCCCCTAGCCCAGTTGGCCAAAATGCTACGAATAGGAAGCCCAACTCGATTGTCCATGGGTCATCCGAGTTTCTATATAGCACTTCGTCTTTTTATGGTTGAAATACCTTTCTTCCGTATATTATACAATATTTTGCGTAATCTGCGTACTCGTTGATCACAATACCGCTAAACAACTGCTTGTTATTCCACTGCATCATTCATCTTGTCGACGGGTTGCTTATCTTAATTCTGTCCAGTGAGTTGAACAACAAAAAATGCCTGTGCGAACCTGAACCAAACAAACTACTAATTTTGCGACCAGTGCACCGTAGAACTTTCAGGATACGTAGGCCATATCCTACGGTAGGATGACTCGGAATCGATCGAGTTCATTGGTACAAGTATCAGGTCGGTTGAGCAGGGACGTACGCGCATATTAACATTAAGATGTCATAAATTTTCTAGTCGCCCTAGAACACTTTAAGAAGAGCGGAGCTGTTACTGAATTACCCGAAAACCACTTTTGTGTATTAAGCCTGACGCCCAGTACCATTAAATTACTCGTCTTCGGGTGAAATCCCTCAGTGAACCTTTACCCAAGCTATCCGTTGAAGTGCGGATTAAATAGTGACTCTCGAAACTTTCTGGAAACGCCGCATATTTAAAACGGAAAACGTTACTGTCAACACTTTTGGTTTCGCTTGCTTTGTCCACAGAAACTACCGTAAGTGTGGCAGGGTATTTCACCTTTTCATCAAAGACTACGGGTGTAAGTATATCTTGTGCCATAATAATTTCAGATATTTTATGGTATGCTATTTTAGATCTACCAATCTGTCTCCTGCAGTAGAAACATTCACGGGTTAGTCAGAGCTATAGAGTATGTATCCACAATTTATCGGAGGCTACCTCGTTGGTTTGGAAGTCTCCCTTATCGAGGCCCCCTTATCAAGACACGACGTCCGCATTAGCACCACAAAAGGGCATGGTGAATCTCGTGAAGCAGATTTCGGAATCCGGTGACAGCCAAACGTATGAAATTTTACACGAAGGAGGAAATTACTACGCTTGATTTGTGTATACCATTAAGAAGTGATTTAAATTTCCAAAGATTTATACAAGAGAACAATCACGCTAGAGATTCGCTGTTAGCGATTCTAACGACGGATACAGTTTACATACTGGGTTACCCACTTACCCTCTCCAATAATATGGAGAAAACCCATGCAATAGGAAAGGTTTAGGATGAAGCCTTGTCGGAGTTGACTATAAACTCACACCAAAATTGCCTCATGTGCTACTTACGATGGTTCGGAATGTTGTATCACTCGATGTGCAGATACGGATAACCCATCTCCTTGTTGGCATAAGAAGGGCAGACGATGCATCGTCCATCAGTTCTCCACAAAAGTCGTTTTCGGTACATCGCATCGTCATCACACTAGACGTATTTTCTTCAAACTGGGTAGCAGAGAACTTTGTGCATGTTTACCTAGAAAAGGGGGTTCGACACTAGATAGAAAAATCTGCGGACGACACCGTAGACAACAACCACACCAGCTGCGGACAGCCGCACAAACTAAACCTTTTGTAGTCATTCCTCATAAGAACTTTTTTACTCTAGTATTAGATACGACAATACTTACTTACCAGAATATTTCGTAAAAGATTCTCTGTTAGGTTAAAACCTGCTCGATACCGGTTTCCCGAACGCTGCATTAGGATTCCTGACCCAAGGGAAGCTCTGAACTACGATGGTCAAGACCTATTTTCCACAAACTAGTTGTCACTTGCTTGTGAACATTTTATTTGTAGTTCTAAAAGAAATTCAGCGGAGGTTGGATCCAATCCCTTAGGATAGTTGACCTGCGATGAACCGTGATAAAAGTAATTTTAGCCATAGGAAATAAAAGGACAGACTTATCATTGATGCCATATTAGAATCAGAAACATGATTTTTGGTCCCCGAAAGCCCATCTGGACCATTTTATGAGCCATCTTTAAACAATCGGAGACGCACTGACTTTTTAACGCGAATATTTCGGCAGCATGCAGGTACATTTGACTGCAAAAAGTAATCGAATGTACTTATCCGTGCAGTGGGTAGGTTGTAAGTTCAGCTGATGTGCTGATGATTCTCTGTAACTTATAAGCAGATGTGACGAACTTTGCAATAGTTCATCCAAGCAACAGCTCATCATGCTGAAGCCACTCACTGATTTCACAGCCTATGGTATCCGGGCGCCTTCCGTTTTCTCATTTTGCCTCAAACTGTTGTGTTGATCTTTTATAGCGAGTTATAAGGCTCCTGGTGACACTTTACCATGATTATTCATATGGTCCACAGCTCGCTGCAACTTTTTGGATTCGCGGTGGCATATTTTTCCATTTAGGTCTATCTTGGATTGTGAGTCCATATTTTATGCTGATCGACCCGCTTAATCTTTGACTGGACAAGCTACATAATTTTGTAACCGTGTCCTTCGACACGTTCCTGAGATATTTTGCGTGCCTGACGTGAAGGTCTTAAATACTGAACGTATTTACAATGGGCCTTCAGCTCGTCCTCAAGAGAATGAAGAAGAGTTACAAATGCATCTGTTGCCGTTTTTTGGTGAAATTATAGAATGAGTCTTGTGAGATTGGCCGGAATAGTAGTTCTTTATCAACTTTGTCTAAGGTCGCCGCAGTTCGCTAAGTTTGATTACTACCTCAGCCATCTAAAAGGCGGAAACTTCTTGAAAATAACACATCAGTCTGTGATTGGCTGACAGTTAAAAGCCGCACAGACGCCAATTAAGAGTACGCTGCGAGATCAAACTTTACGCTTAACAGAACGTTTAAAACTCGTCGATGGAGCACTGAGTGCTATGCGGTTGATATTTCATTTGTTTGGTTACATTGATAGTGAGGGGAGATGACAGCTCATCGCTTGCAGGCTGCATGGTTTGCCACGAGATGCCGGGCGCAGTCCAGCTCCATATTTTCCTTACCTGTCTGATGGGCACAGTGTGTTTTGTGAGTGAATTTCCGGGACTGGTGACTCAAGGAAATCACCACACTTGATTACGGTGCATGGGAAAAATCTAGTTCTAAAATTTTGAAAAAGTGAGTACAAACATAGTCGCGCTTCAAGAATAAACCTATGTTGGGAGGACGAAGCTACTTTCCAGCTTTAGCACCACCGTTGTTTTTATGTCACATCTCAAGGCGCAATTTGACATAAACCGGTATTGAAGACCATTGGGAAAATATAACATTTTTCGGAATACTGCAGTGGTAAATCTCACTGAATATTATTCACCATTGTGTAAACTTACGTATACGAATCCACGATCACTTTCCCCCCAACAGGTTGCGAGACGGTAAACCGACAGATGAGCCTGAACAACAACTACTCCTCATACAATATACCTCAAACTTGTCCAGCATCAGTACATCCCAGGAATAGTCGGACGCCCTATCTCTTACATCACGTGCACAGACGGAGATTCGATGCAGCCCTTGATTAGAAATACAAACTGAGGACTGATGACCTTGGTCATCAGAAAGAAGCTGTGCTTTTTTATTCTTGGATTTCTTAACTCAAAAATTCACGATGCAAATTCCGTTTTTGTGACCATGGAAACATTTTGAAACTGATGTGGTTTGGCATGCTTTAAGAGGTGTGTTGAGCGTACTGTGTTTAAACAGAAATCATAAGGTGCCTGAAAGGAGTGCACGACCGCTTCCAACCAAGTGTTTGTAAACTTTGAGAATGTTGGGAATAGATTGCTCTTCCTTGTGGAGCTTCAACAGACTTGTTTTCTGGCTTCCACTTTAATGGTTATTAGTAAAAACGCCACACTGCCCCCCTGATGAGAGACATTATGATCTGCCGGTAGGATTTGAAGAACTGTATTTGAATAGAGAAGTCTAGTGTCAATAAAAGGAAAAATCCTTATTGAGGAGCTAGGAAATACTCACTGAAATATATCTGGGCTTCATAGTGCACGACACTGTGGTGAACATTGACTCTATTCTATTCATTCTGTTTAGTGTATTTTTGTATGCCTTTGTTTTACGATGCGATTGATCGTACGCCCGCGATATTCGAGAACATACGATATTCATTCGTCCATATTCGGACTTCTATACTACGCGTACATTCGGTAGTTAAGATACCTACCACTATTCTAATTATCAAATTTGGCGTCGCGATCCGGACTTTTTTCTCTTCATCACAATGTTACCTGAATTGGAATCGCTCAGTGTAAATTCAACTGCACGGGAGGTGAAGTGTTATTTGAAACGCTTCAGCATTTGGTGTCTTACCAAGCCGGATCTGGATGATAAAAAGAAGACAGCTTAATTCCTGCACTACATTGGGAAGGATGCTTATGCTCTTGTGGAGAATTTATCTTTCCCTCCGGCGCCGATCGATTGCACATTCGATGTTCTAAAGAACTTAATTCTCAGTCATTTTAAGCCTATTTTGTGGCCGCAGAGAGAGCGAAATTCAAATCGCTTATTCGACCCGAATCTCAGAGTATTCGTGATTTTGTCCTCCAACTGCAAACACAGGCTGCAAAATGTGACTACGGCCAACAACTTGAAAGCCAACTGAGTGATCGCCTCATTGCCGGAATTAATCTTCCAGATCTACAACAAAAGCTCCTAGTACAGACTGATCAACGCTTCATATCGATCAGAAAAATTTGCGAGCAATACCAGGATGTTAAAGAAGTAACCAAATGCAACGAGACCGTTTTATTTAATGCACTAAAGTCGAAAGGGCTGGAAGGTCGCCCACACGGTAAATTTGAAACCAATATGCGTTATCATAACAAAAACAACCAACTGAATTCGAACATTCAAAATCGTCAAATACGCCAACCAAAAAAAGTTCTTGGCAAATGTGCTTCGTGTGGACAGGACCACTCCAGATATACTTGCATACATTGCCAATCAAAATGTTTTTCGTGTGGTAAGATTGGGCATATTCAGAATGTATGTAAGTCCAAAAGAGTTTGTAGACTGACTGTCGACTCAAATTCTGATATCAAACCTTTGACTGATAACATCTCATCCATGTCTTTATCTGT